TTGTTCCATCCTATTTCTTCTCCAGCCTTATTTCTCCTGTTTTTCCTCGGCCTCGGGTGACCAACTAGTCTAATGCACTGCAATTAGCTCTCCAGAGTTATGTCCCTTAGTCATGACAGGATCCACTTGTGGGTTTGAATCCCAGATATGCCACCACAATAATCCTTGATCTGTCAGCATTATGTCCTGATCATGATGTTTAGAGAGACCCAATGATCAAGGATAATAATTTCGTATAATTAAGTCCCTTGGCGACGCCAGGATCCGATACCTGTTGACCCTCCCTCACTGTAGTGATTATTTCATCCTTGTATGAATTTCTTAGTTTTCTCCGCAATCATGACTGTCATCCATTATTGCCTTTTGCTGATCATATTAAATCAATCCTCTAATTAATGAAAAGATCCTTGTCATTAGTAATAATCAGTAAGTATCATCTGGAGATCATCACTGTAATCTAATCGGGATTGACATTCATTTGACATTATGGGCAGGAGGCTCTCGCTCATGACCTGTCAATCACCTGTCAATGCCGATACACCAGCATTTCCATCAACTGGGTTGCTGATCAAACATTGTCTACCTACAGCTAATATCATTAGGGCTGCTCTTATCAAGTCTCAAGGAGCTGTTAAAGCTTCGAGTACTCTGTCCAGCCCTTATCAATGTGAGAGTGTTGTTGTCATCGATGGGTCGCCAACCTCAACCACCTTTCGGGACAGGTAGCCTGTGTTCGTGGACTAGGTTATTTTGTTGCATGTCGGAGTAGACTCTTGAAGATTTCAGTGGATCGCAAGTACTTCGTCCATTGTTCAGCACTCTGGTAAAGTACATATTCTTGTTCGGAAATAGTCAATATTTGTCTGATTATTATCTGTTCATAATGTAGATTTTTCAATGACTGTGTCCTATATCCAGCTCTACAGGGGTACAGGAAGTGTGGCTACTTGTTATTTTAATGGTTGAATTAATGGTTCTTGTTAAGGTTAGAACTGTACAGAAAGTGTTTGATGACAGTGTTGTTAGCCCAGTGACTTCCAATGTCGGTTTTCAAAAGAAACTTGGATAGCTATTATGTGGATCTCTGCGATTGATTTTGTGAGTGAGTGAGTGAGTGAGTACGGTTTTATGCCGCTTTTAGCAATATTCCAGCAATATCACGGCGGGGGACACCAGAAATGGACTTCACACATAGTACCCATGTCAGGAATCGAAGACGGGTCTTCGGCGTGACGAGCGAACGCTTTAACCATAAGGCTACCCGACCGCCCCTGATTTTGTGACAATTCCTTGTATCAGATCATAAGAAAATTGTATGTGATAAAATACATGCTGTATTGAGCTAGTCTCATTAAGGGCAGATCCAGCATTTTTAAAAGGAAGGGTTCCAAAATATCAAAATCCTCCCTCTAAATAATTATACTGCCTACAACATACTACATTTGGTTTTCAAAAGTGAAGATCTGGGGTAGAATAGGTCTTCAGCAACCCATGATTGTCATAACGGGATTGGGTGGTCAGACTCGCTGACTTGGTTGATGCATGTCATCGTATTCTAATTGCGTGGATTAATGCTCATGAAGTCAATCACTGGTTTGTCTGGTCCAGACTTGATTATCTACAGACTGTCGTCATATAGCTGAAATACTGCTAAGTGCAGTGTTGAACAACAAAGAAACAAACAAACTTCAGAAGGAAGGGGTCCGGACCCCCTGGATCCACCACCTGGATCCACCACCTGGATCTACCTATGGTCATGGATCATTAGATCATCACAGCACCACCCTTTACAGCATTCTCCCTAGCCTCTTCTGTTGTGGGGCGGTCGGGTAGCCTAGTGGTTAAAGCGTTCGCTCGTCACGCCGAAGACCCGGGTTCGATTCCCGACATGGGTACAATGTGTGAAGCCCATTTCTGGTTTCCCCTGCCATGATATTGCTGGAATATTGCTAAAAGTGGCGTAAAACCCCACTCACTCACTCACTCTTCTGTTGTGATTTGGTTGTTTCCGACTTACAAAGAAAATGTCATGACTTTTCTGGAAAGGAATGGATGATGTTTTAATCCTTTATTCCAGCTTGGCACTTTGTACACAAGTGTCTACATAGTTCATGTTGGAGTGTGTCCGATATATGACAGATACCTACTACATTCATGATGCTAAACATCCTCTTTTAATCCTCAGTCATAACGAACTATGTGAATACATGTTGGATGGTTTGTTGTTTAACGCCGCACTCAGCAATATTCTAGCTAAATGACGGCGGTCTGTAAATAATCAAGTCTGGACACGACAATCCAGTGATTGATATCATGAGCATCGATCCACGCAATTTGTGGATCCCGTTAGTCGCCTCTTACAACAAGCATAGTTGCTTTTTACGGCAAGCATGGGTTGCTAAAGACCTATTCTACCCCGGATCTTCACGGATCGTGAATACATGTATCAACATACATATTATTATAATCTCTCCATTTGGAATGACATGTTGCAAATTTTAGACATGTATCAAACAGTATTTGACTATTTTGTGGGGACAGTACAAGACCTCAGCTCTCAATGCTCTTCATGGTACCAATGGAAAGGAGAATCTGGTGACCACAATGTGTGACATCACGTGTAGCGTAAAACAATATTCACTCAGTGAATGAGGTGAGGTGAAATGGGGTTTAACGTCATGTCCAAGATTATTGCACTTATACAGCGACGTGCATGGACGTGTGTGTGTTTGTGTGGCTGCTTGTACTAGTCCGGACTGATGCTGATTTATACTGCTAGCTCACTGAGATACCATGCCGCAGTTTAACATGAATACCCCACTCAGACACAGTATACTGCCTCCGAGCCGACCAGTCCTTGTTTTAGCCTCTTAATGCCGAGTGCCAGACAGGGTAACAACAAGTACCATCTTTTAACGTCTTTTGGTATGACGCGGTCGGGGATCGAACCCCGGACCTTCCGCTCTCCGGACGGACGCTCTACCACTAGACCACGGAGGCGGTCCCTCAGGGAATGAAGAAGGTTTTGTGCGTTAGCTAGTAATATGCCAGGTCTGTCACTGTGGGTGCTTTTTAACAAGAAAGCACCCATGTGGGTTTTTCAGGTAACCAGCAAACACTTTAACCACTGTGCCACTACACCGTCTGTTCTTCTCCTGCATTCACTCAGTTCAACACAAGAGAGGGGTCATAGAGTTGTTTCAGTTTTCAGTGCGTCTTACATCTGGCGCAGACTTGCAGCGTGCAGGTTTTAGGAGCACGTGCGCATGTTTATGTTGGGATGCTCTCTCTGATTTAGATTTGCTTTTGCTGTAAACATTCGAAACTTTAAACAATACGAAAGGTTAACCCTCTGGGAAACAAAAATGAAGGCTAAATAAAATGTGTGGTTTTGTGGTTTGTGAGACTTGTTTGGCATAAACGTGCTGCAAACTGGGGCTGATGTCGACATCTGCAAAGACTTGTCTCGTGGTTGTAGTTGTTGAATTGCTGGTGTTGTCGATGGCTGATGCTGTAAGTGGTCCTGCTAGGCTGAAGGAGAGAGTCCTGTTTTAAACAAAGTGTGGAATTCCTGATGGGAGTGGAGCAAGTAAGACCAGATGGCGAAACTGGGTCTTCTTTTTTCTGAACAACATTACCATGTGTAATGGAGGCAGCGGCTGGCTGAGGAAGCCTGGTTCTGGAGGCAGGCATCTTGTGGTTCAATCTCCATCATGTGTTTTTCACAGAGCCTGAAAGAATAATGTTTGTGTGGCTTGTTAAGAGGAGAATTTATTTCGAAAGCTGCTGTTTTGAATGGAATTAACTTTAATATAGAAAAGATATTTGTTAAACAAAAGGTTCAAGACAAGTATGTTTTGATGATGGAATTATAGACAGAGTCTTCATCCAGGCACAGTAACCTCTTCTGTTAACACAATAACTTAACTGATAAGAATGTGAATACTTTTCTCTTCTGAAGTAAATACTCTTTAAAGATGTAATGTGGTAAAATGCATTGTATACAAGCCTTGGATGAGATACCAGTAAAGGACAGCTTCCATAGTTTGCTTATCTACAATGTTTGTTCTGATTAAATGAACAATAATTCCAAGTTTCAAGTGGCTTACCGGTGTTGTTAATACTATTCTACATTAATTCATATCCCATATTATTTTCAGAATAGAAATACAAAAATATGTATTGAAATGTCCCTCTCATCTGTTATTTAGAATATTACTGTCACCGCTGTTCCTGAAACATCCATCAATTATATTCCAGCTATTATTTTCAAATTATCATAAGCTGTACTTCCAAGGTTTGTCTAGCCTTGCTCCAAGGCTGTACTGAAAGAAAGGTTCATGGATGTGTAGTAATTCTATCCTCCTAATAGGCAAGTCTAGATATGTGACACTACTAAGGACTCCAGTCTCTTATAGGGACAACTTGTTCTTATTATTTACATCATCTAGAAATTATGATTTAAACTAACAATTTTTGCCTAAGAGACTTGTGAAAGTCTAAGGTTTGTCCTGCATTATGACAGTATGCATAATGATGTTTATTAAGATTCATGAAAATATCTTTGAACTCCTTTAGGACAGTTTCATGTCCCAGCACTGAGGTATGAGCTGAAGTAGATCATGTAGGGGATCGGCCTGGTCATAAAAAATCATATTTTGGTGCATAAATTAGGCCCCATATTGATTTTAACGTTGAGCATTAAGTGATTTATGTCAGGCAGCAGAAGGCCACCATGTTCCATTAGAAATCTAATAAACATGCTTGGTTAATAAGAGACAATAGACTATGGATATTAATGGTAGTTAAATTATTTCTCTCACGTGGGGTAGCAGTGTTAGTAAATATCAAACAGTATTATTCTTTTGGATAAAAAAATGATAGCTATCCTTAATGATGATAAAAAAGATAATGTGAACATAATGTCTGCCAATGATTTTTATTTCATTTTTATAACCCCGACCTTTTAGCTTGACCATGATGTGTTTTGTCTGTTGCAGTGTCTGTGGAGTCCCCCTTTGAGCGATCTGTGTCAGGGAATAAAGTGCCTTACTATATCAAGTGAGTATATCCCTGCCTGGTACCCACTTTGTGGCTACATGAGAACTTCTTGGTACCCAGTATACAGCCAGATGGAATGTACGTGTAACCTGGCAAGTTGGCAAGATGAATGTGGTTCCCTAAGCATATTACCGGGTGGCGTTGACTTACTAGAACCCAGTATGGAGCTAGATAGTGTTTGCTTCCTGGTACCCAGTATACAACAGGATTGCTTGTGCCTCCTCATATTCAATATTCAGCCAGGGATAGTGTACTGAATGCTACCCAGTCAGAGATACCATACTGACAGGTACCCAGTCAGAGATACTTTTCTGACAGGTACCCAGTCAGAGATACTATACTGACAGGTACCCAGTCAGAGATACCATACTGACAGGTACCCAGTCAGAGATACTATACTGACAGGTACCCAGTATACAGTTGGAGAGAGAGAGTGTAGCACCATAACATATATAATACCATTATGAAGCTGTGAGGTATTTAAGTTATAACACAGACACTGAGAAATTGTATGTTATACCACTAAACAAATGTGAGATATTGTATGTTATATCACTAAGAAAATGAGATATTGAATGTTATACCACAATGACATTGTGAGATGTTGTATGTTATACCACTAAGGGACTGTGAGATATTGTATGTTATACCACTGAGGGACTGTGATATAGTGTATGTTATACCACTGAGGGACTGTGAGATATTGTATGTTATACCACTAAGGGACTGTGATATAGTGTATGTTATACCACTGAGGGACTGTGAGATATTGTATGTTATACCACTAAGGGACTGTGATATAGTGTATGTTATACCACTGAGAGACTGAGATATTGTATGTTATACCACTAAGGGACTGTGATATAGTGTATGTTATACCACTGAGGGACTGTGAGATATTGTATGTTATACCACTAAGGGACTGTGATATAGTGTATGTTATACCACTGAGGGACTGTGAGATATTGTATGTTATACCACTAAGGGACTGTGATATAGTGTATGTTATACCACTGAGAGACTGAGATATTGTATGTTATACCACTAAGGGACTTTGATATAGTGTATGTTATACCACTGAGGGACTGTGAGATAGTGTATGTTATACCACTGAGAGACTGTGATATATTGTATGTTATACCACTAAGGGACTGTGATATAGTGTATGTTATACCACTAAGGGATTGTGATGTAGTGTATGTTATACCACTAAGGGACTGTGAGATATTGTATGTTATACCACAATGAGACTGAGATATTGTATGTTATACCACAATAAGACTCTGAGATATTGTATGTTATACCACAATAAGACTCTGAGATATTGTATGTTATTCCCCTATAAGACTGTTAGATATTGTATGTTAAACCACAATAAGACCGAGATATTGTATGTTATACCACAATAAGACCGAGATATTGTATGTTATACCACAATGAGACTGAGATATTGTATGTTATACCACAATGAGACTGAGATATTGTATCTTATTCCACAATAAGACTGTGAGATATTGTATGTTATACCACAATAAGACTGAGATATTGTATGTTATACCACAATAAGACTGAGATATTGTATGTTATACCACAATAAGACTCTGAGATATTGTATGTTATTCCCCTATAAGACTGTGAGATATTGTATGTTATACCAAAATAAGACCGAGATATTGTATGTTATACCACAATGAGACTGAGATATTGTATGTTATACCACAATGAGACTGAGATATTGTATGTTATACCACAATAAGACTGAGATATTGTATGTTATACCACAATGAGACTGAGATATTGTATGTTATACCACAATAAGACTGAGATATTGTATGTTATACCACAATGAGACTGAGATATTGTATCTTATTCCACAATGAGACTGAGATATTGTATGTTATACCACAATGAGACTGAGACATTGTGTGTAGTGCCATTAAGGGACGGTGTGTGTTGTAACCAACCAGTGTACTGACAGCTGTGAACATGACATACATCTACTATGTAATGTAAGGCAATGTCTCTTGTTTCTGAGACTTACGTTTTCCGCATGTCTGTGTAAACATGACATTTATATTGGACAAACTGCATGCACTTGAGAATCGCTTGAAGTAGGTGGCTTGAGGAAGGTCATCCACAGCTATTTGTCATGATAGTGTTGGCCATGTTTTACAAGTGAGTCACGTGCTGGACATACGTGTGTTTAATACGTCCACTGTTTAACAATTATAATGTTGGCATTACACAGCACTCACCAGATAGACTGTCTGCTATACTGCGTATGCTGTCATACATGAAAGTATGTCCATGGTACATGTTGGAATTTGCAGCCAAGGAGAAAATTGGGAGTTTTGTCACATTTCAATTTTGAAACTTTTATCACCTGGAGTAATTTTAAAGGGACCTTGTGGGGATATCAAGTTGATATATTTATTAAAGGGACCTTATGGGTATATCAAGTTGATATATTTATTAAAGGGACCTTATGGGTATATCAAGTTGATATATTTATTAAAGGGACCTTATGGGTATATCAAGTTGATATATTTATTAAAGGGACCTTATGGGTATATCAAGTTGATATATTTATTAAAGGGACCTTATGGGGATATCAAGTTGATATATTTATTATAGGGACCTTGTGAGTATATCAAGTTGATATATTTATTAAAGGGACCTTATGGGTATATCAAGTTGATATATTAATTAAAGGGACCTTATGGGTATATCAAGTTGATATATTTATTATAGGGACCTTGTGAGTATATCAAGTTGATATATTTATTAAAGGGACCTTATGGGTATATCAAGTTGATATATTTATTAAAGGGACCTTATGGGTATATCAAGTTGATATATTTATTAAAGGGACCTTATGGGTATATCAAGTTGATATATTTATTAAAGGGACCTTGTGGGTATATCAAGTTGATATATTTCTTAAAGGGACTTTGTTGGTATAATAAGTGCATGAATACAGGTCGTAATGGCAGTGGTAGAAACTAACAGTTTTAGTCCACTAGTCCTTATGATGATAACTTATAGCAGAACCCTTAAAAATGGGAAATTTCTACTAGTCCTTATGATACCTTAACTGTTGGACAGTTTGGCAAGGACTACAGGACTACTGCCAATTTCTAACGCTGACCATTCATGTAAAGTCACTATACCAAGACGTAATGATTATGTTTTGTTTCAGTCACACCACAGAAACCACCCAGTGGGACCACCCCGAGATGTCCGCCTTAATGCTCGCACTCAGTAAGTCTTGTAGAGCCGTGGGGGTCTGGGTTGGAGGAGATCCCAGCAAGCTATGCTGGTCGTTCGAGGCGACCATTTATGCTGGTCTTCGAGGCGACCATTTATGCCGGTCGTTGGAGGCAACCATTTATGCCGGTTGTCCGAGGCAACCATTTATGCTGGTCGTTCGAGGCGACCATTTATGCTGGTCGTTTGAGGTGACCATTTATGATGGTTAATTGAGGCAACCATATATGCTGGTCGTTTGAGGCAACCATATATGCTGGTTGTTTGAGGCGACCATTTATGCTGGTCGTTTGAGGCGACCATTTATGATGGTTAATTGAGGCAACCATATATGCTGGTCGTTTGAGGCAACCATTTAGATCAGGTGATCAGGCTTTGTGACTTGATTGTATGTCATTGGTGCTCACAATATTGATCACTGGATTGTCTGGGAGTTATCCCTCCTGGGCACGATCTCTTTGTGGGGGTTGGGGGGGGTTGAACCATGGACTGGTGCCTGTGTCTAGTCTGGCTCTAGATCTAGACACTGTCATGTGTGAACCTCAAACATATGTTAGTGTTTTAAGGCTGAGCGTTAACAGGTAGATAGGTTTACATCTTACAGTTGTAGTGTGCAGACAAAGAAATAAAGGTTTTGGGGACTTAAAATAAACTAACTGGGCTTCTAATTGAACAAGCATGACCTCCCTTTAAGTAATATCAATGCTTTTGACATACCACTCTTTAATACTGGTTTTGTAGCACAAGAATGGCCATGTAACACTGAACTCACACTTTCATTACAGGACAAGTATATACATTCTTCATTTCAAATCATGAACTAAAATAGAAAATTATATTCACAAACAGAATCTATAGGCAGCAGTAATCTTTACTTATTTACTTATATAATTCCAATATTGTAATGGTCTACTGTACTGTAAAGTAGTCCGATGTACTGGTGGGGATGAGGGTTGCCCTTGTATCAGTGCTGTGTCAACTGAGAGAGTGTTGAGTGAGTCTGTCAGAAGGACAACAGGGTAGAGGTCAATCCTACACCTAGACTGTCTCCCAAACCCTGGAGATTAAATTGGGGGCGGTGAGGTAGCCTAGTGGTTTAAGCATTTGCTCTTCATGCCGAAGACCCAGGTTCAATTCGCCACATGGGTACAATGTGGGAAGCCCATGTCAGGTGTCCCCTGCCATGATATTGCTGGAATATTGCTAAAAGCGGCGTAAATTCATACTCACTCACTAGAGAATAAACTGAAAAAAAGTCCCAACTCAAGTCTAGAATGATTTGGCAAGTCCAAATTGCCTCAGCTCTAGAAATTAAAGATTGTTCTGGGCTCCATTTGGATGTTATTTTGTAGATATATTTTGTTAATAAGACACCTATTTCTAGGACTAAATATCAGTCTACAGTACACACAACCCTGGGCCCCACACACAACCCTACTAGGGCCACACACACAACCCTACTAGGGCCCCACACACAACACTAATAGGGCCCCACACAACCCTACTAGGACTCCACACACAACCCTATTAGGGCCCCACACACAACCCTACTATCTGACAGGACTGGCAGTTTGTAAGTATATTTCATGAGTGCTAATTTACACATCATTTCTGAGGTCTGAGCCGGAGCATATGTGTACCTGCTTCTTAATGTTGAAGGCGAACCACTTTGACAAAGTTGATTTATTGAGTAATGTACTTGACCTTTAGTTTGCTGCAGTGAGATTGGGCTTATAAAAGTGTTTGACAAGGAAATGCCGACATTGTTTGTTGGTGCTAAAGGTGAACTATCTACACACATTGTCACTTTAAAAGTTGTTCTCCACTTGATTATGAAAATGTATGATATTGTAATAATTGTTTTAAATTTTGAATTGAGTATCTTGTTAACAGATGTCCTTAGTTACTAAGATACTATATGACCCGTGAAGATCCGGGGTAGAATGGGCGACTATGCTTGTCGTAAGAGACGACTAACGGGATCGGGTGGTCAGGCTTGCTGACTTGGTTGGTGCATGTCATCGATCCCAATTGCATGGATCGATGCTCATGATATCAATCACTGGATTGTCTGGACTCAATTATTGACAGACTGGCGTCATATAGCTGGAATATTGCTGAGTGCGGTGTCAAACAGCAAACCAACCAACTATACTATAGTCTGGAAGGTAATTTAAGGTACCGACGTTTACTACAATATCTGAAAAACTATTGGACCTACTCCAGTCAAAGTTGGTATGAGATTATTAAACACTCATACATAACTGGATATTACATTTAAAGACAATCGGTGCATGAATAAAATATCTGTCTATTTAGCTATCACTATATTTCATCAACAACCAGATCCGACAATAATACGTTCAAAATAAGCATATCTTCAATAAGACACAGTATTTTTCCCTTTTATTTAATTTTGACTGACTTCAGTATTGTTGATCGGTGAGACAGGATCGACTAGCCTTGCCGCATGTTTGTGGTGATAATGAAACTGCGTCTTCTTTCAGATGAGCTGAACAATGTGAGGTTTGCCGCCTACCGCACAGCGATGAAGTTGCGGATGCTGCAGAAGAAGCTATGTAGTAAGTTGTAGCATCTGTGTCTTGAACAATATCAGAGTGGCCATCTTCACATGACCTACATGGAGAATCTCACACTAACATAACAAGACGAGTTGATAAAAGTTTCAAACTCCGAGGCTTGCTGAAGAGTTTTGACCTTTCCAATGCGTATTGGTATTTTTTATTTTAGACTCAAATATGAGTTTCTATTTATCATCCAAGACATTCCCTACCTTTTTAGTTTGTAGACTGTTATAAAAAGTTGCCTTGAGTATAAAAAGAACATGTACATTTAGAAAGAGACAGTACTCTTTAGCCATGAATGTTTGATCTGAAAATTGATTAATTCTGACAAATCTAATTTCTCTGGAAACAGGAACTCAATTTTTACCATACATTTCTCGTATCATTTTTCAAAATGCATTGTTCGTAATCAGTTTGAGTACAATATTGAAATTGCATTGTCAGATAATGCTTTGATCCTGGACTAACTGAGCAGACTTGGTGTGAAATAAAATAATACATCTTAACGAAAGTTTGCTGTCTTAAGATGCAGGTGTTTTTAATGATGCAAGCACTGACGTTCCAAGTTTGTCACTGATAACTCTGTAAGGTGAACACTATTCTTGTTTTTCAGTGGATCTTGTGTCTATGAATACGGCAGCAGATTCCTTCGACCGTCACGGCCTCCGTGCACAAAATGACAAACTCATGGACGTCATTGAAATCATTAACTGTGTTACCTCCATGTTCGAGGTTGTGGCCACCGAACACCCTACTCTTGTCAACGTGCCCTTCTGTGTTGATATGGTGCTAAACTGGATTCTAGATGTCTACGACATGTAAGTAGACACCGCCTCCTGTTGGGATTCACAGCTAAGAGCTTCCCAGTGTAGGAAGATAAGGCTAAATAAAAATCAATAATCCAATTTCAGGTGACATTGTCGAGCAGATATGGGTTGCAGGACAGATTAACTAAAAGCTTTGATGCACGTTTCCCTGACAGAAAGACAAGTATGGAGAGGTGGATGTGGTGACGTGGAGGGGATGTGGTGACTTGGTGTGTGGATGTGGTGACTTGGAGTGTGGATGTGGTGACTCGGAGTGTGGATGTGGTGACTTGGAGCGTGGATGTGGTGACTTGGTGTGTGGATGTGGTGACTTGGAGTGTGGATGTGGTGACTTGGTGTGTGGATGTGGTGACTTGGTGTGTGGATGTGGTGACTTGGTGTGTGGATGTGGTGACTCGGAGTGTGGATGTGCTGACTTGGAGTGTGGATGTGGTGACTTGGAGTGTGGATGTGGTGACTTGGGGTGTGGATGTGGTGACTCGGAGTGTGGATGTGGTGACTTGGAGTGTGGATGTGGTGACTTGGTGTGTGGATGTGGTGACTTGGAGTGGATGTGGTGACTTGGAGTGTGGATGTGGTGACTTGGAGTGTGGATGTGGTGACTTGAGGTGTGGATGTGGTGACTTGGAGTGTGGATGTGGTGACTTGGTGTGTGGGTGTCGTGACTTGGTGTGTGGATGTGGTGACTTGGTGTGTGGATGTGGTGACTTGGTGTGTGGATGTGGTGACTTGGAGTGTGGATGTGGTGACTTGGGGTGTGGATGTGGTGATTTGGAGTGTGGATGTGGTGACTTGGGGTGTGGATGTGGTGACTTGGAGTGTGGATGTGGTGACTTGGTGTGTGGATGTGGTGACTTGGTGTGTGGATGTCGTGACTCAGAGTGGATGTGGTGACTTGGAGTGTGGATGTGGTGACTCGGAGTGGATGTGGTGACATGGAGTGTGGATGTGGTGACTTGGGAGATTGGATGTGGTGACTTGGAGCGTGGATGTGGTGATTTGGAGTGTGGATGTGGTGACTTGGAGTGTGGATGTTGTGACTTGGAATGTGGATGTGGTGTCTTGGAGTGGATGTGGTGACCTGGTGTGTGGATGTGGTGACTTGGGAGAGTGGATGTGGTGACTTGGAGCGTGGATGTGGTGACTTGGAGTGTGGATGTGGTGACTTGGGAGAGTAGATGTGGTGACTTGGAGCGTGGATGTGGTGACTTGGTGTGTGGATGTGGTGACTTGGAGTGTGGATGTGGTGACTTGGAGTGTGGATGTGGTGACTCGGAGTGTGGATGTGGTGACTTGGTGTGTGGATGTGGTGACTTGGTGTGTGGATGTGGTGACTTGGAGTGTGGATGTGGTGACTTTGAGTGTGGATGTGGTGACTTTGAGCGTGGATGTGGTGACTTGGAGTGTGGATGTGGTGACTTTGAGCGTGGATGTGGTGACTTGGAGTGTGGATGTGGTGACTTGGTGTGTGGATGTGGTGACTCGGAGTGGATGTGGTGACTTGGAGCGTGGATGTGGTGACTTGGAGTGTGGATGTGGTGACTTAGAGCGTGGATGTGGTGACTTGGAGTGGATGTGGTGACTTGGAGTGGATGTGGTGACTCGGTGTGGATGTGGTGACTTGGAGAGTAGATGTGGCAACTTGGAGTGTGGATGTGGTGACTCGGAGTGGATGTGGTGACTCGGAGTGGATGTGGTGACTTGGAGAGTGGATGTGGTAGCTATGTGGTTGTTGGGTTGTGACCACTGTGTACAAGGCAGATTGAGGTGTTATTGTACCAGTGGTGTGCATCGACACTCACTGTATCAGCCAATGGAGTGCCTGTTCCAGGTCAAGCTTGCAGCAGTCTCTACTTAAGTATCAAGTCAGAAGCCAGAGTCTAGTAAAATATTGTAATATTTTGTTTGATATAATAATGCAGTTACTGAAAGTTAATATATTTACATTAATATCTGCTGAAAATAATGCCTAGAAACAATTACGAAGACGCAGACATTTTTGGCACAAACAGTGAAATGGCCAAAATATTACTGGCATAAAATCCATGTGTAACGCATGAGGATTCCAGGGTAGAAAAGTTCAGAGTGTTGGTTGTGAAAAAGACTAATGAGTTGGTTATTGGTCCGACCAGGTTGTGTGCCATCACACCAATTAGGTACTGACAGCTGTTTGCACTATCAACCACTGGTTTGATTGGTCCAGACTTCAGTAGTTTACTACCGTATTATAGCTGCTGACTCACCAATATGCACTCATTTCCGTCACCTACACATGAGAGAGATGTTTCATGCTACAAGATCAGTGTTTATATTTCTGTTATGTTGTTTTGCAGGGCAAGGAGTGGCAAGGTGCGGGTGCTGTCTTTCAAAATAGGAATTATCATAATGTGCAAGGCGCAGCTAGAAGACAAGTATAGGTGTAAGTAGCTTACAATTTAACCAATTCAATACAGAATGCTAAGTTTGAACCTGAACCAATTGTCTCTTAAATTGTGTCAAACATTGTTGGTTAAATTGGAATCTGTCCACAATTATGTTCAGCTTCGTATGGTGCTTTATGGTCTTGAGAGCTGGTGGAGTATCCTGTTTGTTAAAACATTCATTTTTTGCACTAAAAGCCTGTGTTTGATTCCCTACAAGGCTCAATGTGTGAACCTCTATCTGGTGTCCCCTCACTCACTCACTCACTCACTCACTCACTCACTCACTCACTCACTCAATGTGTGAACCTATATCTGGTGTCCTCCATCGTAGTACTGCTGGGAGATTGCTGAGATCAGCGGAAAACCCAACTCACTCACTCACTCAGTGTGTGAACCTATATCTGGTGTCCTCCATGGTAGTACTGCTGGGAGATTGCTGAGATCAGCGGAAAACCCAACTCACTTACTCACTCAATGTGTGAACCTATATCTGGTGTCCTCCATCGTAGTACTGCTGGGAGATTGCTGAGATCAGCAGAAAACCCAACTCACTCACTCACTCAATGTGTGAACCTATATCTGGTGTCCTCCATCGTAGTACTGCTGGGAGATTGCTGAGATCAGCAGAAAACCCAACTCACTCACTCACTCAATGTGTGAACCTATATCTGGTGTCCTCCATCGTAGTACTGCTGGGAGATTGCTGAGATCAGCGGAAAACCCAACTCACTCACTCAATGTGTGAACCTATATCTGGTGTCCTCCATCGTAGTACTGCTGGGAGGTTGCTGAGATCAGCGGAAAACCCAACTCACTCACTCACTCAATGTGTGAACCTATATCTGGTGTCCTCCATCTTGATACTGCTGGGAGATTGCTGAGATCAGCGGAAAACCCAACTCACTCACTCACTCAATGTGTGAACCTATATCTGGTGTCCCCCATCTTGATACTGCTGGGAGATTGCTGAGATCAGCGGGAAAACCCAACTCACTCACTCACAATGGTCTGGAAAATACTCTTCCTACCTGGTCTGTTTTGTCAAATCAGTCAATTTGAACCTTTGTGGTCTTGAATTTCACTCTTCTTTTTTCAATTCATTTTTTATTCATTCATTTATTGATTTGCTTTTGTATCGTGGAATTACAATTATTATGTGTGTTTTATTTCTTTGCAGTCATTTTCCGCCTGATAGCGGACACAAACGGGTTTACGGATCAGCGGAAGTTGGGACTGCTCGTCCATGATTGTATTCAGATTCCTCGTCAGCTGGGGGAGGTCGCAGCGTTTGGAGGCAGCAACATCGAGCCCAGTGTACGAAGCTGTTTTGCTAAGGTAAGTCTGTGAGGTATCTGCAGGTGAACAATATCCTGCGTCATGTAGGTCAGGATCAGAGTGTTTACCTGTAGACAGATGTGTTTCTCATCGGTTTACATTAGGACAGTATGTGCTGATGTGTCAATCCAGCTGATGATCAACTAACATCAGAGTTTTACTATAAGCGTACAGGGAACATGAGGCTATAACTACTGTTGAGTTTAAATATCAGCCATAGTGGTTTCCTCTTGGGCAGGATTCAGCAAGTGCTGATATAGAAACTGTTTAAGTTCGGGTCATAATTTCTGATCAAAATGGTGAGAGAATATGCCTGTGAAGGACTTCACAATAAGCACAAAATATAATCAAGGGGGGACAACTTTTGCTTAATGTAAAATTGTCTCCCCTTATTCAAAAGGAATCATGGAACTTAAGTCATGATTTGTTTCAGTGACAATACAATTGAAATTAGGCAGGATAACGTGTTAGCAGTTCAGTAACACCCAACATTACATAAATTACCTCTTGTTAGGTCAACTGATGTTCCAACCTGTGTGGCTTTTTTCAGGCAAATGGGCGGCCTGAGATTCAAGCTTCTCACTTCCTCGACTGGTCCAAGATGGAGCCCCAGTCATTGGTGTGGCTGCCGGTCATGCACAGACTTGCAGCAGCTGAGACAGCCAAACATCAGGCCAAGTGCAATATTTGTAAAGAATTCCCTATAGTGGGGTTCAGGTGAGACACTTTCTTGTGGCGTACTGTTCTCTTATTGATGAAGGGGCAGTCGGGTAGCCCAGTGGTTAAAGCGTTCGCTAGTCACGCCGAAGACCTGGGTTCGATTCCCGACATGGGTACAATGTATGAAGCCCATTTCTGGTATCCCCCGCCATGATATTGCTGGAATATTGCTAAAAGCGGCGTAAAACCATACTCACTTACTCACTTATTGATACCTGCTGGTTCTCAGTGTGTAATTTAAGCCAGTTTGTGGCCCAAAAAAAACAGAGTAAAGATAGCAATTTGAATAAACAAGAAGTGACACAAATGTCATTTTTGGACAGTATCGTGTACAACTTTCGGCCAAGTAAATGCAACTTGTGCCATAATGTTCCTTTAAGTTTTTATGAATATATATATATATTACTTTTTTTATTTGTAGTTGTTGTTTTGTTTTTGTTTTTGTTTTTGGGGTCACTTAATAATGTAATAAATAAAAATTGAAAGAGGCGATTTGTTTTAGCAAATAATAGTCAATTAATTGTTATGTTATATGGAATGAGTGAGTGAGCGAGTTGGATTTATGCCGCTTTTAGCAATATTGCAGAAATATCACTGTGGGGGACACCAGAAATGGGCTTCACACATTGTACCCATGTGGTTAATTAGGCCTTCAACGTGACGTGCAAACGCTTTAAACACTACCCCAGCTTTTTATCCCCCCGGCATATCATTTTACGAATTTTTATTTTTTAAAATTTTTATGGAAAGAAGTTGGACATAGACTCCATTGGGGATGGGGTTCTTTTCTGGGTCAGAATTCGAAAACCATTCAGTATATTTGATCGAAACTTGAAAGATGTATCAGTCACATGCTGAAGTGGTGCCTTTTGCTATTTTGTAATTTTTATCATTTTTATTTTTGCTGTTTAGGATTGTTTCAAAATTTTATCTTGTGATTTAAGTTCAAATGTTTTTTTTGTTTTTTTTCAGGTATCGTTGTTTGCGGTGCTTTAACTTTGATGTCTGCCAAAACTGTTTCTTCTCTGGGAGGAAACATAAAAGTCATAAGCTGACACACCCTATGCAAGAATACTGTACTGCTGTGAGTATGGATAACCATTTATCATTACGTTGATCATGATCATGGATTTACATAGACCTGCCCAGAGGCCGATATTCAGCGCCAAGTCTACAGTAAATATTTACAATTTGGAATTTAAAAAAAATTCCACTACTTGTTACCTATACTGGACAACAAAGTTCATAAATATTTTTTTGGATATTTTCATGAAATTGTGTGTCTAAACTACAAAAAAATATCCTCAAATATATTTTGTGATCCCTTTTTTCTTCTTTTTAGTTTTGATCCCTAGAAACTTAGTGTCGTAAGAGTCAACTAAAGTGGATCACATCGTTCAACTCTTTGATGTGACTGATTCTTTGTCTTCATGCTCATACTATCAGTCACTGGTTTGCCTCAATATGACTGCTAGAGACGGCCATGATACAGATGGAATATTGCTGACTTTCACAAACTACACCCACTCTCTCTTGCTCACTTACTCACTCACTTCTACCATGTGAAGATCCAGGTTACAATTGGCCTTCAGCAACCCTTGCTGTCATAAGAGGCGACTAACAGGATCAGATGGTCAGGCTCACTAATGTCATTGTATCCCAAATGCATACATCACTGCTCATGATGTCAGTCACTGGATTGTCTGGTCCAGAATGATAATTTACAGACATCGGTCATATTGCTGGAATACTGCAAAGTGCGGCATTAAACAACAAACAAACAAAACTCTCTTTCTTTGGCCTAATCATTGACTCGGTAAAGTGAGTGAGTGAGGTTTTACTCCGCTTTTGACAATATTCCAGCAACATTACATGGGTGGGAGGGGGGACATCTGAAATGGGCTTCACACATTGTAGGCATGTAGGGAATCAAACCCGGCTCTTCAGCGTTATGAGCAATGACCCATTTAAGAATGTCAATAAAGTGAGTGAGTTGGGTTTAACGCCGAATTTAACATTATTCCAGTTGTATCATGGCGTGTCAGCTTAATGTGGGAGGAAAGCCCGAAGTGATGCAGGCCTCAGACGTTTACCACTTTGGTGAAACCCATGAGCACGGGTATGGTGCTGACAAACCTAGAAACATAATCAGGGCAAACCGGGATTCAAACCCACAATCATAGGTTTCTGTCGTGACCAAGGGACGCAACTCTGCACAGCGAATTTGCGGCGCCTTAAATGACTAGGCCACCCGTGCCCCCGTATCAACAAAGAGGCATGAGAGATGTAAATTAACTTAGGGTTCCGCCGTGAGCAGGTGTTAAAACCAGTAATAGCTTTGCAGAATATTCATTAGGATCTTGAAGTTATGGATGTCTTCCTGAAGAACATAAACAGCCTTTGAATTTGTTTTCAGACTTCTATACTAAGAACATAAATCACTATTTTTAAAATACAGTGGATGCGGAAAAAGATCAAATTTTAAGTGTTTACATAAATTGAAGGCTGCCTTTGAATGTTCATCAAAGAAACCATGAAAATCCATTATATTACTTTCACAATCTTTTCTCATGTGAAACATGTTATTTCGAATAACAATTTGCCATTTCGCTGTGATGTAATTTATTTGTTTGTAATGAGGGATGAGTAATATGTATTTCAACTTAAAAGGACTCAATAAAAAATAACAGAATTTGATTGGTTAGAATTCTGCTCTTGCTTCCACGATATTTGTCAATTAATCTGACATTTATTTTTCCTTATTTTTTTTCAAACCTGAATGATACATTGACAGTACTGTTGTATGTTGTAACGTTAAATTGTTTCAGACAACCTCAGGAGAAGATATGAGAGATTTCACCAAAGTTTTCAAGAACAAATTCAAGTCAAAACGTTATTTCAAGAAACATCCTCGCCTCGGTTACCTCCCTGTTCAAACTGTCTTGGAAGGGGACAACTTAGAAAGGTAGGTCCAGAAATATCTGCTACATTTTGGATTCTCCTTCCATTATAGATAAAACTAATTGTCTCTCACAGTTGGATGCAGATTACCATATTCTCGCTGTTAAACAGGATGTTTCTGTCTGCAAATTTAAGTTTGATAATCTGGTTAAGAGGAGGCTATAGGTGGATGCAGATTTGTCTGATTGTCTCTCACAGTTGGATGCAGATTACCATATTCTCGCTGTTAAACAGGATGTTTCTTGTCTGCAAATTTAAGTTTGATAATCTGGTTAAGAGGAGGCTATAGGTCAGGGTATGAAATTCCCAAAGATTTCAGCCAGACCACAGGACTGGCTAGCTGAAATACTTGCCAGCCCTGACCAAAACCTGCCTGCCCACTATAATCATATGTTTCTCAGGATAATTTAATTAAAACTTTAAATCGAATTCATTGAACATGAAGTTATGCAAGAAAAGAAATAGCAAACACTTTTTGGGTCAGATTTGTATATAATATCCTAGAATACATCATGTAAATATCCTTATTCCTAAATAGGGCCTAAATTTTAGGTTGTCTAAAAGCTAACGGGGTTTCTTTTTGGTTACATTTTATCATTCATCTTTACATGTGAATTAATGCTTATCATTGGGAAATATTTAGAATATTTTCACATATGAAATATAACCCGACCGTCGGGCATGGGGATTTGAAAATCAGGCAGCCCGAGTTGAAATCAACCCGTCTCGGACGGTCGGGCAGGCAGGTATTTCGAACGCTGTAAAGGTGGATGCAGATTTGCCTGATTGTCTCTCACAGTTGGATGCAGATTACCATATTGTCGCTGTTAAACAGGATGTTTCTTGTCTGCAAATTTAAGTTTCTGGTTTAAGAAGATGTAATTGATGTAAATTTAAAACTTGGGCAAGTTAAAATCTAATATTTCAAAGACTTTGAAAAACAGAAAACACATTTAGGTTTGAGAATATAGGAAGGGACTGTAGGCACAGGAAAATTTGAGGCATGAGAAAGTTTAAAGCGATCTTAGCGCTAAGGGACTATAGGCTCAGGGAAATTTGAGGCATGAAAAAGTATAAAGTGATCTTAGCTCTATTGGATTATAGGCTTAGGGAAATTTGAGGCATGAGAAAGTTTAAAGCAACCTTTGCACTAAGATGATCGTAACTCCCTTACTTAACATACTTACTGGAAGTTGTCAGTGTCGCATTAACAAGACTATAGCCCATCACAGACACAAGACTGTGAGCTTATGGTTCATACACACACACCAGGTTTAGATGCTATTTGACTGACAACCGATTCTTGTTGTGCAAACAGAGCTTGTCACTTCTGAATGTCTGGCTCTTCACGAAATATATATCTGGCTGAACTGTATCTAACTATCCTTTCATATTTTCCTCCTGATAATGTCAGTATTAATAGTCTATTTGTATGGTGCTTTCCGTAGCTGGATGTCATGCTCATAGTACAGGGAATTATTCCCCTGGCCAATGGATCAGTGTAAACTCCATTTCATTCTCAACTCCCTGAGGAGTATGCAACCCAAGCTGCCTGTGAGGGGCTGGAATGTTAGCCATCATCATCTCATCACTGCCTATTCACTGCTGGGAGAACAGAGGCATATTTTGAACAAAGTCACTTGCCCAAGCAAGGAGACACCACATATGCTTTAGGGGGGCACGGGTGGCCCAGTCGTCTAAGGTGCCGTGATTCGCTGTGCAGAGTTGCGTCCCTTGGGCACGCCAGAAACCTATGATTGTGGGTTTGAACCCCGGTTCGCCCCGATTATGTTTCTAGGTTTGTCAGCACCATACCCGTGCTCCTATGTGCTGTTCACAGGACCGGGTGCCTCCATGTTATTTATGACGACAGTATGCTTACCGACAGGGGCAGTCATCTTCCCGAGGAAAGGGAGTTAACTGACTGTAAAGGACCAATTTAAGCCCATGCCGAACTAGGCTGGATCTGGAAATAGGCCCAATCGTGGTGCCACCAGAGGCTATTACAAATTATGTCCCATCTATGTCCCTCCTATTGACCAATCAGATCCCATCTCTCATATCACTTGCATTTGCTTCAAACAAAATGTTGATCCACAGTCAAGACTATCTGATCGATAATCAACATCTATATTGTTAAAAAATGGGTCTTACTTCGCAAAGTGCATCAAATCACGTTAGCACCTGGATTAAAAATAAGAAGAGATTTGGAAATATCTGTTGACGCTAAGTTGGTGGTACACATGCTTTGCAAAACTGCAACCAACCGAAATTTGCAACCAGCAAAAATGTAACTCCATAATTCCAGCTTAGTTCGGCAAGGGTGGAAACTGGACTTCTACAGTCAGTTAACTCCCTGTCTCAGGAAGATGAGCGGCAGTGGGGTAGCCTAGTGTTTAAAGCATTCGCTTGTCACACTGAAGACCCGGGTTTGATTCCCCAAATGGGTTCAATGTGTGAAGCCGATTTTGCTAGAATATTACCAAAAGCGGCGCACGGCCATACTCACTACCGCATTTACTCACAATGTCTGTGTGTGTACGTTTCACACAGGACGCAAAAAACCCACCTGGATCTAGACTGGAAGTTGACAGTAGACATGGGAACATGCAATCCCTCTTGCAAAACTATCCACAAAACAACAACTGGAAAATAGCTGTCAGGTTTAACAGGTTGTACACTCTCTTACCATTGGGGGCGGTTGGGTAGCCTAGTGGTTAAAGCGTTCGCTCGACATGCCGAAGACCCGGCTCGATTCCCGACATGGGTACAATGTGTGAAGCCCATTTCTGGTGTCCCCCGCCGTGATATTGCTGGAATATTGCTAAAAGCGGCGTAAAACCATACTCACTCACTCACTCTTACTATTGACCTGATAGTTTGGCTTGAATACCTACTTGATACATCTAGAGGTAGTAGAATTGTAGAGCTGAGAACCATGTATGGATTGAATTAGCACGGATGACAAGTCTGATCATATGCAATTGGCTCATCCCTAAAGACGTTAAAAGATGGTACTTGTTGTTTCCTTGTCTGGCTCTCGGCATTAAAGGGATAAAACAAAAATTTAAGGACTTGTCAGCTCAAAGTCTGATAAGGGTATCCATGTTGAACTGTGGTATGGTATCCTAGTGGGCTAGCACAATGTAACCATCATATGTCCGGACTTGTACAAGTGTGCACACATGCACGCATGCACGCACGCACACGCACACACGTCGCTATACAAGTGCAGTAATCCCATGAGAGCGAAGTTAAACCCCATTTCACCTCACCTGAAACACAGACCTCAAACAACTTGCATGGTGATCCATTTCTTAACAGATTCATCTTTCAAAACAAAAACTTTTGGGTCATTATTTTTATATTGTCATTGTTATGAAAAATGAAGCAGTTCAGTTGATATTGTTTGAGAAAGGTTTCATTGACTTTGTACCTCCATACATGTCATGCTGTTACATGTATTGCAGAATTACCCTTATCAGATAAACATATTGGAAACTAGTCAAAACATCTTCAGTCTCCCCTTTAGAGTTGGGTATTATTCAATGACATTTCCCCAAAATGAAGGATTGAATTATAACCAGGAAAGACCGCCTCCATGGTCTAGTGGTAGAGCGTCCGCCTGGAGAGCGGAAGGTCCGGGGTTTGATCCCCGACTGCGTCATACCAAAAAACGTTAAAAGATGGTACTTGTTGTTACCCTGTCTGGCGCTCAGCATTAAGGGGCTAAAACAAGGACTGGTCAGCTCGGAGTCAGTATACTGTGTCTGAGTGGCCGGTATTCATGTTAAACTGCGGCATGGTATCTCAATGAGCTAGCACTATAAATCGGCATCAGTCCGGACTAGTACAAGCAGCCACACAATCACACACGTACATGCAAGTCACTATATAAGTGCAATAATCTTGGACGCGACGTTAAACCCAATTTCACCTCACCTATAACCAGGAAACCTAATACACAAAGGTCGTGACATGTCGGTTAGCACGCTAATATCATAAGATGCTTTTCTGTGCTGGCAATGTAATTAGAGAATTTAGATCCTGGTTACAGTGTCAAATTTCATTTGAAGTATTTTTGTCAGTTGAGAATCTTTTTTAGCCTTGCTGCATAAGTCCTCTTTGAAACTTTGTGAAATGTTGACAAGTTCCATTACTGTCATTCAAGAAGCCCCTGCAAAGCGAAGTGGCATCCCAATGACCTAGTTGTTTTAAAGGCTCATTTTCAATATACGTAAATAGATTATATTCCTCTGTAACTTGCCTCATTCTTTTCAAACAACAAATTAGCTATATTTATGGAAGCGGAATATATCTCTACGGATCATCTGCCAGTCTCACCTAACCATGTTTGGAGGTTCGTGTGTACTTTAAGTGACAGTTGAGTGATGGAGAATTGTAATTGCATCTTGGACACAGACACATTTCTCCTAAGTGAATCTGTTGTTGAGCCATATTCACATGGAATTAGTTTGTTTTTTGGAAATACACATGTAATTGAATTACAAATGGTCACATTCACATCATGTGACAAACTTTGATAGATTGTCGGAAATTTATGTCATGCCATTCAAGACTTCATTCCCAGAATTCCAGGACTGAGATAAAGTCGACTTTGATTTAATTTTGTTATCTCTGTAAAATTCAACAATAATAATTTACAAAGTTATTTCAACTTCCAGAATTCATCTTCTTCAAATTCAAAGTAACTTTTTTGTCAGAATTAAGGGTTATAAATGCGATTGAAATTATTATTTAAAAACATATTCCTTGAGGTAGTTGTCACCAATATAGCATCCTTATTCAGCAGAAAATATAAGGCATTTTTTTTGGTTAAGATATTGATTTTCCAATAGATTTCCTATCTTAGGATGTAATTTGACAGATAAAATCTATTTCAGCAGTGAGATACCACAAATACTCTGGCACGAAACAGGGAAACAATTTTTGTATTGTTGTTTATCATAAAGTTCCTCACACGGTTGCTATTAAACTTGATAA